TTGGCGGATGAAGATAGAATTCATTGCTCAATCAATCTACTGACGAATTTCGATTGATGTTAAACATTGAATCTCGACAGGTTCTGATCGCTAAACGCTCACATTTTTCTGATTTTATTATTCTAAATTTGATTTTTATTTAAAATTATTAGAAGAATAAATATTTATCCTTCATATATTTTAGAGTATCTACTTGGCTTCTCCGTGAACTGGTAATTTTTACATACAATTCTTTGTATCTTCATAACTTTTTCCATTGGTCAATGATTTCATCTTTGTGGTTTTTACCAACATTTAATGCGAAGTTTAATATGAAAATTTTGTTTTAATATCTGGCATTTGATGAATCTGATCTAACAAATGGGTAATTTGCATCTGAATTTCATTGATGCTATATCACCTTGGAGAACTGATGCCTCATTGTTCTAAAACTAAATTTTCTGCATCTTCTTATCATCATCATCTCATTATCATAGTAATTTCTGCTTTTTCGAATTCGATTTTTCCCTTCTAAAATTGCTTTGCCATGTTTGCTTCTTAGTGGTGTCGTAAAATTTACAAGCTAATGTTACTTGTGAATTTTGCATTAAACCAATAACAAATGGGKAATTTGCGTCTGAATTTCATTGATGTTATATCACCTTGGAGAACTGATGCCTCATTGTTCTAAAACTAAATTTTCTGCATCTTCTTATCATCATCATCTCATTATCATAGTAATTTCTGCTTTTTCGAATTCGATTTTTCCCTTCTAAAATTGCTTTGCCATGTTTGCTTCTTAGTGGTGTCGTAAAATTTACAAGCTAATGTTACTTGTGAATTTTGCATTAAACCAATAAAGTTAATTATTGGGATCCAGAGTTGTCTTGTGTTCCCTATGGATCGAATAGCTTTTGAAATGGTGATTGCGATCTAAGGAATTGGTTTTGAATATAAATTTCTAATTGATTGTGGAGTAATAACCTGCAAGAAGAATAATCATTTGATGGACATGGAACCTTCATTTTCGAATTGGTGGGTGGGGAGCGGTGGTTGTAACGATAACAACCATGGTTTGTAACGATGACGACAGTGGTATGGGTATGGTGGTGTCGGAGTTGTTGGCGGCTGTGACGGTGAGCAGTAGTCGTGCGGTGGAATAGGTTTGGATGCAAAGGTTATTTTTGTCTTTTTAAACCAATTATAAAATTTATTTGGGGATGTTTGGTTTGTAAATATGGTTTTGCGTGATTTGGAATTTATAGAAGAATTCCAAATTAGTGAATTTTGATTTTTTTTGTATGTTTGCCGTTGGTATGAAATTAAATTGCATTATTTATAAAAAAACATTATAAATAAAATTTTAAAATAATTGTATTATCTACGAATGTTTTTATTACATTTTAAACCATTATTGCATAAAATTCTTATGAAATTTCATGAAATATCAATTAAATCTACGGGATTTCAAGATCTTATGACTATAAAAAGGCCTCATCAAAACCCAAAATCAGGTTTATTAGTTATATGTACATATCAGTTGATATCCTGAATACAAGAAATTGATCTATCAAAAGTTAATAGTTATATATGTACATATCAGTTGATATCCTGAATACAAGAAATTGATCTATCAAAAATTAATCCACCAGTAAGTTACATTTTTCTTTGTCTTTATTTTCTAACCTGAGTTGATCTGTAAAATATTTTACAAACGTTTGAGAATTAGATCGAAAGGTTTAATGAATGATTTTCCTCGTGGTTGGTTAAACAGATTAGCACATATTATAGTTATAAAATAACTTACTATACAATTAAAAGTTGATGATGCAATGGATCTTATTTGTAGAGAATTGGAAAGTTAGAAAAATCCCACGAATTATTTTATTTTAAATGATTAAGTATATGAACTAATTTTTTTAAATGAAAAAACTAGTAAATTTTCTCAATTTAAATAAAATAAGTTTTATTCAAAAAAATGCAAATTCATGGAATGACATGAGAATGGCAAACTAACAACCTAATAAGTGATAAATTAATCTTAATCACTTATTAAGAGAATGGCACTAGGGCAAAACCAGAACTACGACATCCCAGAACTAGAACCTAGAAGGGAGAAGCCGAGAGGCAAGGGATGAGGATGAGAGGCTGACGGGCAGAGCAAGAGGGCAAGAGCAGATGTGTATGGTCGAGAGCAAACGTTCGATTGGTCGTTAGCGGAGAACGAGAGTTGAGAGCGAGAACGTATATGATATGTCGTTAACAAACTCATTAACTCAACCTACTACAACATATATATAGGTTGGGATTTGATGCCCTGGTGTCTCTACTGCCATGGGCCATCACCCATCTCGCTCAACATAAGGACCATCCCTGATTTATTTAATAATAGGATTTAATTCGGTATATTGTCTTTAATGTCATGTGTATAACGATTGTTAGTATAGTCGACATTGAAGAGGTCATTTATAAAAGAGGTTTCCAATTCTGTATTAAGAATGCAACAAAAATTCGAATTAGATTAAAGACTTGACATTAACAAATAGTCCAAGGACTATTTATGTAATTTAATCTTCATGTCAAATACCTGCTCCGCAGTGACTTGCATTTTGGCGGTGCCATTCTCCGATTTCCCAATTTAGAAAGAAAAAAGCAAATAGCGCATCAATTAGACAACTGATTTCGGTGTTGTGATCCACTCGTTGCTCGAAAATCTGTATAGTCGCGATTGCCGTTCCTACCTGTGTAAGTACTGCCATTCAATTCGGCGCAATCTCTATTCTTCTATGTGTTCCTCACAATCGAGAATTCAAACTAGTGTATTGCAATCTTTTTGATTATGTAACGTTGTTTTACTTTTCCGATTTGTTCAATTATGGATCATCTTTAGTTTCCAATTTCGATTCACTTCGTTTTCCTTCAACTGTCGGAAAAGGCTTTCGAATTGTGATTTCATCGAGTTATATGCTTGTTCATTTGGACGAGCTTGTCTGTTTACACGATCAACCTAGCCAAACCTATATTGTTTCGTTTTCTGTTGAGTTCCGAAATTTCAGTGGAATTATGTACAACGTTTTGCCTCCCTAGTTCTATGGAACTGCGTACATGTGTAAGCAAGTGGTCTATTGGATTTTACTAACATATAAAGGTGAAGTGATGAAATTGTGTTGGTAGGAGTACATTGAAAAAGAACCAAGTCTTTTAGTGTGGGTGTTTTTCGATTTTACATTTGATGGCATAAATCCTTCTTCATTAAAAGTAAATCGAATTTTTCTACATTCTTGCAGTTTTTAACCTGTTCTCTTGTTATATAACATTGGTTATTTGAGTGACCTCTGTGTGGGTGTTCTTTGATTTTGCATTTGATGGCATAAATCCTTCTTAGTAAAGTAACTCCAATTTTCTACATTCTTGCAGTTTTTAACCTGATCTCCTTTTTTATAACATTGGTTATTTGAGTGACCTCAGGGCAGATAGTGCAAGGATGGGTTGTAAGGGTTTTTTGGAGTGCTTGTTGAAGCTCCTGAACATGTTATTGACCCTTCTGGGTCTCGCCATGGTTGGCTATGGGATATACTTGTTTGTTATGTACAAAAATGCAAGTGATGATATCAATGTTGTACCACCAAATGAAGGATTGATACAGCTTGGACGCCCTACGCTAATGGCTGTTTCCCTGTCTAGCAGCAGCTTTCTTGATAACCTGCCTACTGCTTGGTAACATGCCTCTTTTTAATTTCTTCTTGGTATGTGTTGTATCTTTTATACAACGTCTTTTGTATCAATCCGTTGTATTAGATATTCAAGTTTGGGTTTTGTTCTGTGCATTTAGTTGTTACGATATTAGTGTCACGACTTGAAAATGTGTCACCTTGCCATGATGACAAATGTAAAATGTATGTTGAGTTGCTCTCTCTACACGGCTCAACTGAACTAAATGAAGCTCTTGTTTGTTTTTTATTTAATTAACTAAACTAAGTGCATGGTTGAATTGGATAATCTACCATGTAATCATTTTCCACATTGAGCCATCTTATAAGGGAAAGAGAAAAACCCCGGAGCCTTTATCCTGATACAAGCCTTGGAGAACTATCCTTGTACTTGGGGGACATGCAATCCATATCATTGACAAAGAAGATGCAAAATAACTCACAAGTTGAACATATGCTACCAAGTAAGAAATGCCACTTAATGCTTAACAAGGACTTTAAGATAACTAAAGACTGAGACAACATGATCAATTTGAAGATGCATATTGTAGTGAATAAATGATAGATTAAGAATGAAAGGGTCAAGAGAAAAGAGTCTGAAGTAGCAATCTTACATATTGAAACTTAATCCAAAGCCACCATTTGGGGGCTCTAGACTTCGTACTTTTTCTTACTAAAGATTGCCTATTTTCCCTTATGTCATATCCTTCATCTATTTCTAGCTGTTTGCCTTCGCTGCTTCTCTTTAGCTTGATTCCATGTTCTTTCTCACCAGAAGTCTGGAGCATCAACCACCCATCCCTCTACCCCTAGTTATCCTGTCAATATTTTCTTGTCATTGTTACCTGAGATAACTTTTTTCAAAATTCTTATATCAATTTTATTATGTCCATGACGCTCATACGTGTTCTATTCACTTGTGCGCCACATGCATGTTGCTTGCTTGTCAGACATCATGAACTATACCAAGTAGCTTTTAGCCTGTAGAGCTCCCCTTTCAACTTGGAATAACTTCCCACTTTCATGAAACCAAATATATAAATGACTGCCTAGTATTTCTTCTTTCATCTTGTTCGTGGAAATTCATCTTCTGCCTATAATTAGATTGTAATTGGTTAGGGTAGGATCATACCATATAAGTAAATGAAGTTTACAGGATTTGTAAACAGGAAAGATTGATGTTGAGTTGGCATATAGCTTGCATTCAAGTTGTTTCTAGAGTTGTGTGCTTGAATTTGTTAAGAGAGTAAGTGGTTGAAATCTGTAGTCATGGAGTTCTTTATGGAAGATAATTTCTTGTTGATGATAAATAGACAAGTAGGAAGGATATGAACCATTGGAATTACTATGCAAGAACAGGATAATGGTATCTTGTAGGCTATATGTTTACTAGTAGCTAGTTGGCAATTGTGTTTCTGTTGTATGTAAAACATATATAGCAGACACGATGGTTTATCTCTTATCCACTTTCTAGAAGCATGACCTTTTTAGTATTAGTAATTTAGTATGTTACTCGTATTCACACATGCTTATCATGACTGTGATCATATTCAGTCACTTCACATTCTAACCATGGTTAGCATGAGAAGGACTGTGATCTTATGGGACCTACTGGGATGCTATGCTCTATGGCAAATTGGTGTTTATTGCACATGATGGAAAATTGAAAATGTTATCTATAGTAAATTTTGCTGGGAAGAATTTGTCTTTATGTGTATGAATAAAGTTGTTGCTCTATGCACTATGGCAAAAGATTACTATTTAAGTTGGTCATATGACAAGGCTTTCTCTAATTGAAAATACACCATTTGACAGGTTTCTTGTTGTGTGGCAAGCGGATTTAGTCATTTTATTTGAATATACAAATTGGCTTGATTGTCAGAGCTTAATGCTAGTCTTGATTGGAGAAAGAGTATTTCATGCATAGTATATGATAATTGGCATTTGATAATTTAAAAAGCAGTCTCCTTAGAAAGTAATGATAACGATGGATGCAATATACCTTGAACATTCTTTGTGAACAGTTCTGTGGCAAAGTAACATATACAGATAGCAGATATCTGCATGCATATATAACATAACCTTATATGCAACATATTTAGATTGAAGAAAATAAATAAAAAAGTTGTTTTAGGGTTAGGCTTGACTTCCCTGAAGTATTGGCATCTGGCTTGAGTTTCTCCGCTGCAAAAAAGTGTGTACGCTTTGAAGTTTGATGCCTATTTGATGGTATGTGAAAGGCTTTAAAGTTGGATCTCTGCTTCTTGGGATTTGTATGTGTTCAGTTTTACAGTGCTTTGTCAATCATGATGTAATGAATTTTTTGTTGCTTTCATGAGGGGATGCATACAGCTTCTTTTTTTGTTAAAGACGTACATACTGCTTCATTTCATAATTCTGGTGATCCGCAGTAGTAACTAATGCTGTTTTTCATTGCAGGTTCATTTATCTGTTTATTGGTATCGGTGCAATAATCTTAATAATATCTTGTTTTGGGTGCATTGGCGCAGCAACACGGAGCGGGTGTTGCCTAACTTGTGTATCCTAGTCTACGAGCTTGTTTCATTCACTTTTTATGAAAATAGGAATTTAAACTGTAAGGGTTTATGATAATTGAACCCATACAAGCAAAGATCTAAGATGTTTCTATGACATAATGCTTCTCCATTATATCTTGAACTTATTTCCTTACCTAGAATATCTATGACATAATGCTTCTCCATTATGTCTAGAGTATTAGTTGCCTTTTTGAGCTATATGCATGCCAAACATCTTTTGTTTTTTTATCCGTTATTGCGTTTCTCTAAGAATTGAGTGCTACGAAAAGGAAAAATGAATAAATGAGAAGCAAGAGAGAAGGTAATTTTAAGAATTTGCCATGCTAAATAAAATGGTGATTTTTTTTGTGCTTAATTTTTTGTGCTTAATTTTTTGTGGACGGTTGATTTCCTTAAGGTACTGCAGTACTCCATACTTGTACTTTTGTTAATCTTGCTAGAAGCGGGGTGTGCTGCTTTCATCTTCTTTGACAAGAGCTGGAGAGCCGTGAGTTCTCCTTGAGCTACAAGTTTGATTCTCAACATGCTTCCAATGTATTTGATTAGTTAAACAAGGAAATGTTTTCAGGAGATCCCAACTGACAAAACCGGACAGTTTGACATGATATATGGATTTTTGAGGAAGAACTGGAAAATCTGCAAGTGGGTTGCACTTGGAGCTGTTATATTGGAGGTAAGGCACGATATCTTGCCCTTGTGGCAACTTAAAGAATATTTCAGATAACAGTAAGCAATGCATTTTTCAGTCATATGTTAACCTTATGCCAAATTTTAGTTGTTAGTCCACAATCAGATCCTTCACAAAATTAAAATCCCATGAAGGTCATCTTTCAGTTGAAAATTTTGATGGTATCTTCTGATGTATGGTCTCAGAAAAAAGGGTGTTTTTGTTATATGGGGCAATTATATAATGCAGTGTGCTGCAGAGTCCAAACTTGTACTGACCGAAATTATGATTATGGTTTATTCATTTCAAAATTTCAAACTTCTTATATCCAAAGCCAATGTATGATAATTAATCTGAAAATGGAGGGAATACTTGATATGTTGGAACTTCGCATCTTGATGGGGGAGTCCTAGACTCGCTGCCCTTTGAAGTTATAGCTTTTGATTGAAATGGTAACATGATGTGAAATGGGGAGACGATAATTTGATATGGTTCTTCTATTTGAAACTTTGCACCTCTTCCATGGTGGAGATATAGGTAAGGTTTTAAATGCTTTTTGGTTTGGTCTCTTCCATATGCTTGCCACTAATGGTTATGGGTGAATCAGATTTGTCGTCATTCGTCAATTTGGTACTCTGCTTAAAGCTAGGTGGTTACTCTCTCCATGGCAAAATAAATGTTACAATGAAAAAGGCACACGGTTTTAGAGATGTGTAGTTATTACACTTTTTAATGAACTAGATGACAATTTTACCCTTAATGATAGAGCTAGTAATGAGTTTCTCCATCTCATAATTAAGGGTAAAATTGGGAAGTGGACACTTATTTTGAGATGAAGGGAATATATTGTGTCACTATGAGGGATTCTCACAGAAGTAAGATTTGGTACCACTTTGCTTCCAAAAAAAGCAGTTACTCTAAGAAGGTTGTTATTGTTGTGCATATAAACATATGTCATATGTGTATGTGTATGTATGTATATATATAAATATAGGAAAATCGCCATTGATTTGATCAGGGTGTTGGTAAAATGTTTATACTGCCTATATGTGTGAATATGCAGCTTCTGGTATTTCTGTTAGCTCTTGTGGTACGTGCTGCAAATGCACCAGCAGACTATGATAGTGATGATGAGGACATAGTTGCTCCCAGGCAGCAACGACAACCTTTGATTAGTAGGCAACCAGTTCCAGCCACGGGTATACCTGTTACAGGTACCCTTGATAGCCGTCCCAGCAGGAATGATGCATGGAGTGCACGCATGAGGGAAAAGGTGCGTGCTTTTTTCTGCTATAGGGAGTTTCAAGATAACATGACCATCTTTACTTATCTGATCTGGTACACCATTTCATGATATTAATCTTGAATTGCTTCTTGAATTCACCCATAATTAGCTGTTTCTGTTGGTTCATAATCTTGTTTACGTCTACTGTTGTTCGTCGAGTGTGAGTTAGGTCATGATTGGTGACTTGATTTTGAGATTGAGATTCCTTTTGCAACCCGAGCCAGATCTTGCTTCTTGTGCATATCAATCAAAAGTTATTGTTTCTATGTCAAAATCTTGGAGATACCGAATTCATTGGTAGCACTGCTGCACAATAAACTGAGGGTGACCATTTTGAGATTGAGATTGCATTTGCTGCCAAGTTGCAGAATGCATTTTATACATGTTGAGAGGGGGTAAAAATGTCACTACTATGTTCAAATATAAAAAAGTGGGAAAATTACAATTAGGCATCGATGGGGCCTCTTGCACAAATAAGGGCTTGTTTCTTAGCAATAAGTTTAATTAGACTCGCAGCTTATTCATTCAACTATACATGAGTATTTGTTAATGGCTTAATGATATAGACAGTGGCTTATTTGGTAAGTTTCTAAGGGGAGCTGTATGCAAAAAGCCAAGTAAGTTTTTTTTTCCAAACCTGTCCCTTCAAATTTAAAAAATACGTTCCTTCCATCTATGAAATATCTGTCCAATCTATAAAGACAGATTAATCCACATAGACTGCTTTATCTATACAGGACTTAATGGAAAACCAACCAAACATCCCCGAAGTCATTTTTACAAACTAACTTATCTAGTATTTTTCAAGATTTTACGGAGCACAATGTTTAACACCATGGAGAGGGGCTATTTAGTTCAATAACCTTCTCCAAAATCTCGTTTTGCAGAATGACCCTAGTGTATTTTCAAGTATTTTCCGGACCCAACTGCTTTACTGAAAAAATTGGAAAGTCATACTTCATAGTTCTTGGTCTCTGAAGATGCGTTGTTAGGCTCCTCACAAAGGGGTCGCAGTGACCAGGCCCGGGCGACTGTTTACCAAAAACACAGGTCTCCGCAAAGTCGTAAGACCATATATGGGGGCTGACGCCTGCCCAATCAACTTGAATTCGGGACCACTATTCGAAATCTTAGTGAAACACTGGATTTGTTTTCTCGTGTCGGCTTCTCTTTTTGGTCATCAACTTAATAAGTAGGCTTCGCTTAAGTTCTTTATTTACTTACATGTTTTTGTGTGGTGTGATCCCAGTATGGACTCGATACATCGGAGTTCACATACAACCCGAACGACCCAAACAGGAATCAACAAGGCAACACACAACCGACAGAGGAAAAGGGTCGTTGTGCCATCATGTAATCAGAAGTGTGCTGAAACGATTGTTGTTGTGTGATCCGTAGAAAAACGTAAATCGGTTATCGTCTGAGTGTGTATAAATATTAAGTTTGATGAGCTTTAAGTCATGTTCTTCCATCCCTCACCCTTGTTAGAAAATAGACTGTGTGTAATATTATGAGGTTTGTGATTGATTGTGGAGATGATAGTTTATTAATGTTGCTGGTAGTAGAAAAAGACAAGGTGGCATTGGTTTTTGACCTTTACCTACAAGTCATCTCTCAGAATCTTTTCCCTTTGTTGCTGTTTTATTCCCTTCTAATGTTTTATTTTTTCCTTTTGGATTCGACTCAACAAAAATTGTAGGCTTTTTTTAAACTAACCTGGATATCTAACTCGTTATGCGAGCCGACTAATTTCAAAGGACGATCATCTGTTTTGTGGATAGCTCGGAGTTACCATATTTGAACTTCCGTGGCTACAAAGGGATTTTTATTCCTCCTTGGATTTGAACCTAGGACCTCTAGGCACTTTTGACCTTTGAAGTTAAGCTCAAATCAATCAGATACCACTCTTGTGGTTGAATATTGTAGCATTTTTGTGCTTGATTGTGTAGATTTGACGGAAATTGACTAAAGATATGGCAAGTGTTAGATTTTGAAACTTGCGAAATATGTTCTTTTCTAAATTGAATATGATATTGGTGGCGTTGGCTTGTGAAATGGGCATCATAGTTTACAAAATTGTCGACCAGAATCATATTTTATTTATAATAATTACATAAATTGTGGAACATATACTCGTGAAATTTGGCTTAAAAATGAAGATGTTTATTTATAATGTGTTGTTTGCTCAATTTCCTAAGATCTGAAATTTTAGTTGATTTCAATTTAGATTATTTGTCTCATGTTATTAAATTTTCTTAAAATTTAAGTTTACAATGTATTATTATATATGTATAATTTTTCAGAAATTAATATTTAAACTACTTAAAATTAATCATAGTCATATGATAAATATGTTACATTTGAGTATAAGTGTTGATATGATATATTACAATATAGGTAGCTTAATTATTATGATGAAATACTTCATAAAATTAGTAATATAAAACGATAAAAAGAAAAGAGAAACATAAATAGAACGAAATAAGAACGAGAATTTAGAGCATCTCCAATATATTTTCCAAAGTAAAGAATCAAAAATTAAAATTTAAAAAAAATAGTAATTAAAAATAAAGAATCAGATTAAAATGTTATTTATATTATTAATATATTTAATGTAATTAATAAAATATTATTTTTCTCTCACAAAAATTTAATTTCAAAGATTCTCGTAGGTTGAATAAAAAACTATTTCTCTTTCTTAAATAATTATTTTTGAAGATTATTCAAATTTAAATATTTTCAAAATCTTTATCCTCTTTTCTTTATTTTAAAGAAAGTTACAAAAAATCTGTTTAAACAAAAATCCTTAAAATCTTTATTTTTAAATTACTTTAGACATTTACGTTGTATTCTCTAAATTGGAGAAAAGAAAAAGAAGTAAAAGAAAGGCAGGGAAAAAATATAAGGGATTTTTTTATTTGTGTTCTTGAAAGGAGAGGAAAAGGAAGGAAACAAAAGAAAATGATTTTTTATGTTCTTGAACTGAGAAAAGAAAGAAAAGATGTTATTTTTACCCATATACCCTTTAAAATATATCATTTAGGGGTTGTTTGTTTACCTCTTAATAGTTTCATTAAGAGGCAACATTTGAATCATTAAGAGATGAATCTTGTTAGGAAAAAAAAAGTCTGACTCTTAATGGTTCTAAAAGCCTCTGAATGATTTTGTATCATCAGCCTCCCTTAACCAGTAAGTGTCATGATTTCATTGTAAACAATTATATTTCATTTTGCACTATATCATGAAAGTCTCTTAATCATTCTGACCACTTAATCATTCTGCACCAAACCATTCAGCAACTGCCAAACAACCCCTTAGAATGAAAGATTTGATAGTTTTGTAATTTTAATATTTTTATAAAAAGATTTAATGTCTTTCCTCCTACATTTGACAGAAAACTTATCAATATTTTTCTTTCTTTTCCCTCTTAAAAAGATTTCGAGAACATGAGTTCTTTTAGGGGGTGTTTGAGATTGTTTATTTAAAATAACTTATGTTTTTTTTTTACAAAAATCATTATCAACTTATTATAAGTTAGAATGGTTTTACTTCTTCAAAAACTTTTTATTATCGGTTTGACATCGATATAAGTTGTTTATCCAATTATCCAAACACTCAAAAATGTTTATCACCGATACCACACCAAAATAAATCAGTACGTTATTTTTATAAGCAATCCCAAAACACCCGGTAACTCTCCTCCGCTTTTTTTTTCCTTCGTACAAAAAGTAGTTGCGACTTTAACGTAAACACAACTAATTAAGAAAAAATGTATTATTCCATTTGAAAATTAGGGGACGCAAGTGGGGATTTGAGGTGATGGTGTGGTTTAGCTGGGATCGTCATTTGACGGGGTCAACAACCACCATGGGTTCCACCACCACCGCCAACCACCATCCATCGTTATCTTCTTAACACTAGTCAAATCTGCCATCACAAAGTTGCTACTCGGGTCCCTCTCTCAACCGAATCCATCCTGTAGTTGAACTCTGTTATCCAAATCATCAATTATCGTATTATTATATCATTTCTGGTCAATATATTTTTATGATCGATCCTACACGAACTCGACGATGAATTAGAGAACCGATTCTACAAATTTGGGGCAAATTTTGCAGAAAATCACTTCGAGTTTCTACAAATCACTATCGATCTCAACCAGTAGGTCACCGACTATATGGAGGAAGTAAAATTAGAGAAGAGCAGGTGACGAATCGTGCATTAGCTTCGGTATAATCTTCTCCAACCAATCAATTGCTATGGAAGCAAGCTTTTTCTAGGGTTCCGCCACCAATTCCCGACATATGTTTTATACGAAAGATCTCAATCAAGTTAGTAGACGAGGTAAGGTAAGTGATCATCTGGATTGTTGGTCGAATCCAATTAACGAGCGGAGCTATGGCCCACCGGCCACCACCAGTAACCACCGCTATCATCGTAAATTTGGTGAAGGAATATTATAATATTATGCCCTTAAATTTGTCGGATTGTGTTCATGTGGGGAAGAAGATGTGTGATTGAACAAGGCTTCAACCAAGGAATCAAGTATTCATTATTATAAAATACATTTATTTTTGTAAGTAATTGATTTAGGTGATAAATATTTAAATATTAAACTCCACTTTTAGGTGTCGTTTACCTAAATGTTTATCCGATAAGCGTTTACTGTTAGGATTGAACATTATAATTTATTTTACCGGATAAGATTGTAGTTATCAAAATGGTATCGTATGCAACAATTTACCCGGTAAGCACTTACTCGGGTAAGAGTCGTCACCCTCAGTTACGAGTAAGACTTTCCATATTTATCATTGCTTTTACTGGGTAAGGTTTTTGACTCTTGTCATGTTCATCCGGTAAGGAAAATTACCCGGTAAGCACTTACCGGGTAAACATTTAATAAACGGCTCTTTAGTCTTGCAAAATCTGAAATTCGTTTATTCATTAAATACAGATTGAATTTGTTGAGCTCGAACTGCAATTCGAATCAAGCTCGAACCAAACTCATCCATTGAAATTTATGAAATTTTAGGGTCTTTCTCTTATAAATTTTAAAACTTAAAGGTGTTCTCTTAGTTTTTATAAAACCAAAGGGATCAGCTTCAAACTTCATTTACGAGTTGTCTCGTATCATTTAGACCCCTGGACACAACAAAAAGTGAAGGTTGATCCCAAACTTGTCAAGAAACGAACAAACCATGAGCCTTCTTTGTCTAAGACGCCACATAAGAATTATATAAATATCATTTGTAACACTATTCTTAAGTAACTTTTATTATTTATTGGAAAAAAATTGATATAAATTTTAAAGTTAATAAATAAAAGAATATCATTGAAAATTTAACAAATCAAAAATAACAAAAAAAATATATATACCTAAAATCTTATGATTTAATATAAAAAATAATGTTATTTATTAGAGAAGATTATAAGGGTACTCGTGTAATGCATCGAGACACATCTTGATTTCAGTGTTTCGATTTATTCTTTTTTTATGTCGATATAATATGGTTTATGTGATTTTGAGAAAATGATAATGTTTTTATTTTTAAATAAAATATAAATTTGAAAATATCATAAAATTTTGATAAAAAAATATATCAGTATCAAATTAATCTTTTTAAAAGTTATTGTGTTTCGGTGTAATTTTCTTAATTCAATTTTTTTAATTATAATTTAATTTAGGTTTAGTAACAAAGAAATTTAATTTAGGTTTAATAATATAAATTTTTTATAAAGATAATAACTAAATATTATGTTATAACTCAATAATTATCCTAATTATATTTTAGATTTTTTATATTTAAAATGAGATGTTTATCCAATATATTTGATTATGTTTATCTGCATTTAGTTACACGAATTCAAATATGGAGCTTTAATAAGTTGTACTTATGCACAATTTACTTGTAATCTTAAATTTTAAGTAATATGAATCAATAAACAATACTTCGTGCATAAAAAATGATTTTTAAAAGTTTATGTCAAATACTTTATAATATAGTATAGCTTTACAGTTTATATAAAATCACGAAATTAGGTGTAAGATTTTAATATTAAAACCACTAAATATAAAGCCTCTTAAATGCACCATCTGTCTCCGTACATAAAGGACATTTTAGTCTTTTTACATGTTTTTTTTTAAAGTTCATGTTATTGATTCTTCAAATGAAATTTAAGTAAAAATATGTACGTAATTGAACCATGTTTTAAGTCTAATTTTAGCATGCGGTTCAAATTTCTTTTGGAGTTCCGTTTGTTTTGATATTAACGTTACACCAGCAATTAACATGGACTTTGACTGAAATAATTGTTTTGAGTACGCAATTCAAATCGTTGAAATTTGAAATCATGAATTTTGTCTCTTGATCTTTTCTAAATAATTAACATCGACTTGGACTAAAATAAATGCATCAACATTGAAATTTAAGATACTGAATTTGAGATCATGAATTTCATCTCTGAATATATATATATATATATATATATATCTTTTCTAATTAATTCGCTTTCATAGTTTACAAATATTATGCAAAATTGTTATCTTCCGGTTTTTTTTCTTGGACAAATTGTATGAGAAAGTAACGTACTTTAACTTGATTC